TGGTTAAACATTGGAAGAGGCTGCCCAGGGGAGTGGTTGAGTCACCATCCCTGGAAGTATTTAAAAGACGTGTAGATGAGGCACTTAGGGACATGGTTTAGTGGGCATGGTGTTGTTGGGTTGACGGTTGGACTCGATGATCTTAGAGGTCTCTTCCAACCTTAATGATTCTGTGATTCTAAGGTGACTTGATAGATTGCCTTGCACTGCAGACAGATAATTATGTATTTCAGTGACTACTGAGTTTTATCGTTGCGATTTGTTTTCATCCCAGTGAGGCACTGCAGTTACTGGGGAGTGATGCGAACCTTGTTGTGGCTGACACATGTTCAACAGTTTGCTTCCAGAAATCATGTAACACTTTGTTTTTCTTGTGGAATAACTGTTGTTGAGGCATATGTAAGGAGGAGTCAATCTAACTTGACTTTTAGCTTCCCGTCATATGAATTAGTAGCAGGGCAGTGGAAGCTGGAACAGGAAAGGCTGAAGGTTAACTAACAAACAGCAGTAACTAAGCCAATTCCTTGCTTCCATCTGTGACAAACTCCTCCGGTTCCTATATATCCTTCCTGATATATCCAAGTCATAGATGGAGTTGTCTGTCCTGGGAGACTGCTGGTGAGGGGAAGAGGGCAGTGTTAAAACACTGCAATAAGAGCGCGCTTAAGCACCTTCTACACTTGGTAGGGGACAGCTTTCTCATGGTCCATCCAGACTTGTTATTTTCCATTGTCTGAAATTCTCCTGGGTTTCAGGTTGGCTTTTGATGGATGTTAGCCACTTGGACTGAGATCTCTGTGGTTGCTAGTCACCATGGTACGGAGTACAGGTGTCCATCTGAGCCCTGTAGGCCAGAGTGTCAGAGCAGCACAAACTTCCTTGTGGGTAATGGCAGAAATTTTTTTTTTCTAGAGCTCACTGAATGGCACTCTGTCCTAACTTTTAGTCAGGCTTTCCCTGCTCCAGTTTGTCCACATCCAGCAGATTTGTCATCCATGCTACCATATGGACTGTTATGGGCCTCAGCACTAGTTTGTTTTCTTCTGTTCTACTTCTGAATCTAGACTCCTGTGGGCTCAGAAGCCTTCTGGGAGCCACCTTTGTTGTATTTCTTTTTAAATCTTTCTTGGAGCACAGACAAAGGATTCAGGAGTAGGGGAGGTGGAAAGGAAGCGTGGGAGCAGTATGCTTACCAACTCTAACTATGGAATCAGTAAGACTTGAAGTACACAGTCTTTAGTATGGCTTTTTTCTTTTCTTTTTTCTTTTTGTCTTCTCAGAACAGAACCAAAAATCTTCTGTCTACTTGCTCTTGCAGCTGTATAGGACAGGAAGCTTATTTAAGGAGAGAAACAGAAAAGTCTTTATTGCCTGTGGAAGGAGAAGCAGGATTTATATGCTTTGAAAAGGTATGTATTAGAAGATTTACTTGGTAAAAAGTCCAATAGTCACCAATACTCATTTGCATGAAGGTTCTTTCTCTCAAGAGCTGTCACTTCCTGTCATTCCCTACAGAAACTTCCCCAAGCTTTCTGTTTTTGAGGGAAAGGCTAGCCTGTCCTTGTTCCCAAGATTCAGCCTTTGAAAATAATGTCCCCTTAATCATAAGACCGTGTATCTAAAGAAACAATTCATTTAGCTGTGCAACAGAAATTACAGTTGTTTTCAACCTAACTGTAAAGCAAGTTCTGTCTTTTCATCAGCATTCAATGGCAGCAAACTTGATTAGGCCCTTTAATCCATAATGCAGGTACTACAAAATAGCAAATACACTGAGAGTATACAATAAAGGCTGAGTAGCAAATACAGAAGTAAATATTATAATGTAGCTAGTCCCACTGTTTTTTTTTCTTCTTTTGATTCGTGTATTTTCATGTTCACAGATCTGTAGTTTTCTGCCACTTAATGCTAACCGGAAAAAAAAAACAAACCCAAAAAAAAGCAACTCATCTGCTTGAGGACATTCTGTTGTAATGTATCCAGTGGCTGTTCCTGCACCAGGAGGTGAAGGAAATAATGGACAACATGGGAAACTTATTTTTTTCCTTTTTGTTTTTGGAGCTGTGTTGCTCTGTGCTGGATTCCTGCTTTCAGTCTTTATTCTCCAGTCGTGCCCATCTGGAACCTTCAGTGACTGTAACGAGGTCCTTAAGGCTGCTGGGCCTGTGCTGGCTGTGACTGGACTGGTTTGTGTTTTACTGGCACGATCAAGGGCCAGGCTGTATATAAGACAAAGGCAATTGCAAAATGAGCAGGTGTACAGCCTTGTTTTTTGTCATGGGAGCTGTCAGTTTGCCCAGTTTCTCATATTTGGATTCCTGTTTTTAACTAGTGGAATGCTAATTAGCATCCTGGGCATTTGGGTTCCTGGCTGCAGCCCCGGCTGGTACAGCATACAGCTCAACCACACCGGCAGTTCTGATGTGGACCTCCAGGGCTGTGGATTCCTGTCACTTCAAATCATGGGACCTTTGATTGTGCTCACTGGGTTGTGTTTCTTCGTGATAGCTCATGTTAAAAAGAAACAAAACTTAAATCTCAACCAAGAATCTTGCGAAAGTGAAGAACATCCTCAGAGCCCTGAATCTTTTCAGGTTACAGTAGGTGGGTAAATAATGTGTGAACTTTACGTTTGAGACTTAGTAGGGCTTTTCTCCCAGTAGTGATTTACCTCTGAATATTACTCATTTGAGCTCTAAGCATGTCAATTCTGGAATGTCAAACCAGCCAAAACAGAAAACTGTTGCTTTGTCTCATACATTTTCTGTATGGTCAGTTCAGTTACCTTTCTCTCAAAGACAAAACCTCTCCTTTGGCATAAGAAGAAAGGTCTAACTGTGCAAAAGAAGCCAGTAATCTGACACAAATGAGTCCAATCCCACTTCCTTTCCCCAAGGGTGTAGCTGACACTGCAAATCAGATCTAGTGACTTCTGTGACTATATTTAAGATCTATCTGAGCTTTGAGCTCTGATCCCTTAAACAGGAGAATCTGATTCATAAGCAGTGTATTGTATTTTTTTAATCATGGCCACATCTTCCATTAGTCAGAGATGTAATTGCAAGATGCTTCTGTTAATTGCACGGTATTTGAGTAAACATGGTGTGTTAGCAGGGAATGCTCCCCTGCATATAGCACTGCTTTTAATACCCCATGAATACATTCTATGCATCCATTATTCGGATAACTTTCTAGCTCTCAGAAAGGATTAATGAGTCAATCATAGTATTGCTTGACTATCATCTGACTGACTGGACTTGAAATCCATTATGCAAAACTTTTTTCCTTCTTCCTGTCAAACCAATGTACAGACCTATAACCTGGTGACCCTCAGGAAACGTGAGGGTTTAAAGTCGGTTTTCCAGCCACCAGGATAAATCAAAAGCTTGTAGAAATGAATTCAGATTGTCTTTAAAGGCAAGAAAGCAAAATTAGTGGATTCCTTTTATACTTCCGTCAGGAAAAGTAAAATTGAAAGACTGAAGGCTGAGGTCTGGTTGGCATAATGACATTCTGGAACAGTGGTGACTCGGCTAGAAAACACCCCCCGCACCTCACTCAACATTTTTGATGCTCCCTGACCTGTCTCTGCATGCAACTTACAAAGGAAAAAAGGTGCCAGGCAGCTGTGAATGTTTATATAAATTATGCAAGCTTAGTGACTGATATGAACTTTCTGTTTTAAAAAAAAAAATTTTGAAACTCCTCAATTATAAAGTTGGAATTGGCAAATACGCTGCACAGCACACTTAATAGTGAATTATGTATCAATAGTGTCCTAGTACTAATGTTATTAGTGTGCCTTTAGCTACAAGAATTTAGTAGGGAAACTGTCAAGGCACACAATCAGTCATCAGAACCATTAATGACTTCAATACTTTTGTTATAACACTGCAATAGATGTGGAAAAACTGGAACCGCCCTATTTTAGATACATGAGTAAAACTAAATACATGCCTACCCTTAAAGTGAGTCAACAGTAACTGTGTGCTTTGCACACAGCCTGTGTGCTGTGTCTGAAGACAGCCAACAGTGAAGAGGTTTGTGTCTCTTAGCTAGATGGAACAGTCCCCCTCCCCCAGCTGTATTTTCTAAATGACATCTTCCATTTACGAATATGCTGCATCTTTATTTTGGGATAATTTTGGTTTTGAACGTACCTCCAATGTACTTTAACAGCCCAGAATATAACAGTTCTGTATGTGGAATCATTGCACTTTATCTTAAAATGTAGACAAGTACAAATACTGTAATTAGAAAGACGGGAAATGTTCTAGGATACAGTTAGAATAAACAGTGGTGCTCAGTTTTTCAAACGTGGTAATTGGTGGGTTTTTTCCTAGGTGATGCTGTAATGGTATTCCCACCTCCACCACCTCCTTATTTTGCTGACCCTCTGTCACCAACCATGACACAGTGTCTTATGTCAAGTGGTTCGCCTACAAGTGAAAATCCTCCACCATACCACTCTATCTTCAGCAATGGGTAAGACTGTTTTCTTCTGTCTTTGGAAATCTGAGGTGTTTCTCAAGATATCCAAGACCATGTTCTTAAATAATCACTGTGAAATAACTCTCCACTAGGCACTACAAGGTGTTCTAGTGCATCAGTCGACTTACTTCAGATACCTTACTTGAAATGGCATTAAAATATCGTAGTGTAGAAAGGGAATTACAAACCACAGAGTGTCCTTCATGAGGGTTAAATTCTTACCAGTTCATTATGACTGAAAAGAACTTTTGAAATGAAAGCAAAGTCTTAAATCAGTGGCCTTATTTAAATATACTTAGATTAGATTTCTTCCACAGATTGTCCAAGAGAAGGTGCCCTGACAGCAGTGCCCCAGTGGCATGATATCCACACTGCCAGATTTTAGGAAGCCTCTGTAGACCCAGGGCAGCGGGCCCTTCATGACACTTATCCACAGGCCCTGTGACCCTGGGAATGCTACTTTAGTGTGTTCTGTTCTCCCTGTGACTGCCTCACTGCCTTGAGGAAGTAAGACCTGCTATGCTGGTCTGCCTTGTTCCTGCTGTGGCAGTGTGTCGAGATAAATGGATACCTTGATCTTGCAGGAGAAGAGCAGGAGGCTCCAGGGAGTTTAAAAGGGAGGTTACAATGCCAACTTCATCTCAAGATGTTGTACCTTACCCATGCAGCCACTCTTCCATACACTGAGTACAGCTGATTTGTTAGATGCTGCCACCACCAAGCTGAGGAAGAAAGAGCTGCCAACAGACTGAAGAGTTGTCTGCACCACAAGAACTTGTAGGGTTATTTATCCCCTGTGTGTTACCACCAGTGGGCTGCTAACTTGAGGGTGAAAGGTCACTGCAAGGGCCACAAGCTAGGAGCCAGAACTAGATCTGTCCAGGAGAGCTGAATGCCACATGCCAAGAGCCCCCAACTTATTTTCAGGCCCTTAATGATTCAGAATTGACTTGGAACACCTTTTGGAAGGTCCTATGTCAGCTTGTTATTAATCTGTGGGTCAGTAGGTGGTGTGGGACTTTTTCACTGGATGACTTGACTTTACAAGACTGTACCTGCAGCATCCCAAGCACCATCACTGCAGCAAGAGTCCATGCCTGCCTGGCTGTGTCCAATCATAGTAGTTGTTGGGCCATTGCTTTAATAGCTTTCCACTACACTCCAGACTTCTCTGCTCATATGAGGCAGTGCGTTCCATGATCAGCTGGACCAGCTGTGTGCCTGATGTTGGTCCTTTTTCAAAACTCTAATGCTAATCTTCCCTTTGAAGCAAGCAAGCACGAGCCTTCTTCCTGCCCAAGACCTGAATGCCACAGGAGGAGGATACTTGTGTTAGCAGTGGTGCTTATTCTTGTTACCATGCTGTGTGCAGCCATGTCTGTCATTTTTTTTTAGTCATCCTTTGAAGTATACCTGGTGGATTCTTGAGGCTCAGGCCCACTGTGCAAGGCACTCTGTTCTCTAGTCAGTCACCATCAACAACTCCTGATATCGTCTCCCAGTTTGTAGTGTCCTCCTCCAAACATTTTCTCCCCATCTTTGCTGAAGGCAGCAGATGCTTCCTTCTGTTGCTATTGCCACATGCCAGACTGTCCTTCTGCCCTTCCTCAAAAATCACTTTTTTTCCCTAACATAGAATAAACACCTCTCTATCAAAAAAACCTACTTGCTCTTCCTTGCTACTATGCAACGCTCTAGTGTACAGTGGGACTGGCCCTGAAACAAAAAGATGATTGTGTACATACCACCCATGGAAGGGAGACACTCAGTGTTTGGTTCCCACTGACTGAGGTCCAGCTTGAGGTTGATCACTTGTGCAGAGGGATGCAATGCCTAATAAACCCTAGCTACGCATGTAATTAATTGTCTGCTGTTTTTCCACTTAAATTGCTTCTGAGAGTACTTTTTATACAAAGCTGATGAGAATCTGTTGATTGCTTAGTGCCCTAAACACCTGACAATTCAGGATGACAAGGGTAGATGTGGGGATGAGAAGATGTCAGGGCTGATCAAGCAAAAGTGCTTTCCAGAGAGCAGTGGCTCTCATGGTCTGGCACAAATTGTTGTGTGAAGAAACATTGTATTTTGTGAGCCTGTTCTCGAATTGCAAGTGAAATACATCAACTCTCAGAGCTATACTACTGTAATTAAAGGACACCTAGAGCAAGCAGGAGAGCAAATAAACTTCTGCTGCTGAAAGAAGGGATTTACATGAAGTCTCTGAGTTCTTACTGGGCTGGGTGAAGACATCGACAGCTGGAAGGTGTTTCATACCAGCTGCAGCTGGGCCTGGAGTTAGGCACCACACTGAGCCTGCCTGTGCTACAGCTCCAGTGTACGCTGTAACTCCCTTCTGACATGTACATCCCAGATGTACATGCAAAGCAAATGGATGTGTGTGGAGGAATGACTTGCCCCGAGTATGAACCTGGACCTCTGGTAGCCCTGAGACAGCCAATTCAAGTATGGCCCAAGGACACCCTCAAAAAACATTTCAGCTTAAATACATTTAGAAGACCAGGCTGGAGTGGATAACTGGGAGAAATATGGGAACATACATGAAAGCTGTGTTCTGCTGTAGCCTTACAAGCAGCTGAGAGACAGAGTGACTCTTGTACCACCTGTCTGTAAAAGTACAATGCACAAAACTATGGGCCACAACTTCTCTGTACCCTATAATTTCAGGCCCTGAGTTCAGATGTGGGCTGCCTGCCAATGTGCTTGGTAAAATGTGTGCATTATCAAAGGGTGTGAACGAATGCAAGCAGCACATCCTGCACTGAAAAAGGAGAAACAAAGAGTGCTGGGGGAATGGCAAAAAAGCTAGTTCCCAAGACTTCCTGTGGGCTCTTCCTGCTGGTGCACATACCAGGTGGCCCTCCCTTCCTTCACCCATTCTCCTACAAAATCCCCTGCAGCTGGATCAACTGCCTCAACCCACAAATGTCCAGTTCTGGTGCTCCAAACTTCGTGCGTGATCCTATCAACTCAATCGTCATTGATTGCCTGTCTGGACTTTGGTGTCTTGTGAACATATGTACACAAAGGGGCAGTTTGTAGGCCGGCTTGTTGGGGCAGTTTCTAGTGGAGTGGACAAAACACCTCAACCTTGGATGCAGAAACCCTGACCTCTTGGTGGTCTGGGGTGGCTGGGGGCGCTCTAGCTGTTGCCCTTCCATGCTCCCCAGGGTCCTCCCAGAGACCCTGTGAACTGATACCACCTCTGGGTATTTCACTTGATCGTGGTCTCCCATGGCTCAGCACTTGGTAGCAGCTACAGCATCTTAACTAGTGCAAATTGGTTCCCAAGCCCTTTCATGGAGGAGAAGCAGTGGCGTCATTCCTCCTAACGTAGTGCCATGGTTGAAGATCCCAAAGCTGGAAGAGAATACCCATTTCATATGTGGGTGTTTACCAGGCAAATGTGATTTACCTTTTTAGTCCATTGCTCCATGTTCTGTCAGCAAGTGCTGTGGTGGAGACTGTGCTGCATGAAAGAGCTTGTAGGAAGCTGAGTCATGGTCTGATCCCAGTGGTTGTTTTTTTCCTGCAGTCTGTTATATAGCGCTTCAGCATTTGTCTTGTAGTATGTTCTCTTCTCTCTCCTTTAAACACACACCCTCACACACCAGTAACAACACTGAAGATGAGCTGACTATGCTCTGTATTCCTGCTCCTCCTGTAGTATTGGTGGGAGTACAGATGTATGCACAAAGGCAAGAGTCAGCTCTGGGAGCAAGTTATGAGGAATGAGGAGTTCTTCCCTTTCCTTGGGAAGCAGCTGAAGCAATATGCTGAGGGCCAACTCCAGGGCAAGATGAGCAGGGTACCAGAACCATGTGGGTGCAACCGACTGGGATCCAGTTATGATGGTCAGAGGAGGGCAGTGAATACTTGGCTGCTCTCCCTGACTGTCACTGGGAACTTAGCAGTCTAGTTGTATCCAGTTGCTTCTGTTTCTGCAGCTCTGAGTAGGAATGCTACTCCTTATGTCCATCATGCGTTGCTGGAGAGCTTAATAAAAGTTTCACGTTGCCTTTCATGTCAGATCTCAAATGCCTGAGGATTGTGATTTTTGTGGTAGAATTCTAAGTCTAGTAACTCTTTCATAAGGGAAGGGGACAGTGTGTATGTGATAGACTGCAAAAGGGAAGACACATTAGGAACTAAGGATCAGAAGAAGATTTAGTAAGATTGTGAGATAGCCCTGCCAGAAGCAGCTAATACCCATAAGCCAGGCTGTGACTGGTGATGTGAAAGGTTAGAAGGGAGCTTGTTTGCCCTTCCCTTCTGAAGTAACAGAATTTTCGTATGTGTAGTCCATAGAATGAAATCCTAATGCTTATGCAAGTTCTTTACTTCAGGGATTTTTAGGGAATGTGTGCGTACATGTATGTTTATGTAAGTCAAGTGGAATTTCACTCACTGTAGAGAAATGAATTATGCTAATACGCAGTTTTGTGTTTTATAGAGCACAGCTTGCAGATGGTGAAAGAACAGTTGCTGTGAGAGACTATGAAACTGTATATACAATTTCTGGAAGCAGCTCACCTTCAGATATTTTACCGATGCTATACCTCTCCTCTGAATCACCTCCAAAATATGAAGAAAAAGCATCAATAACAAATAATGAATATTCTCCATCTTCTTCATCTTCTTCATCTATTTCCTTAGCCACATCTGACACCAGCTCATAGAGGACTGTCAGTTAGACTTCATTTTTAAATTAAATTGTACACTCAGATTTACAATTTTTGGATTTATTTACATTTTGTAATAAAAGCAATAATGTTGACTGTGTCTAATTTTTCATCAAAAAGCATAAATGATGAATTTGGGTCTCAAGAAATATTAGATAATGCTGGGCTTCTGAGCAAGTAATCTGAAGAGATTCAGTTCACTGCAAGAATGTTAAATGCTCATCTTGTTCTGTTACAGCTTCAGTTTCTATTTTTAGTTGTTCTTTACATAATGGAGGCACCAAGTAGAGACCAACTTTTTTTGCTTATTTTAATTAAATCTGTTTGGAGCTTCAAAAAAGAAATAATTAGGAAGTGTTTTTATTTCTGTTTTTGTATGACTTTTGTGGACAATACTTGTTTGCAAAGTTATTGACTTTATATGTACTCTGAGAGCATCACAAATAGGGGTGTTTAAGATTGGGACCAAATATGTTACAGAGAACTCAAATGGTTACTTTTTGGTCTGCCTGGTAGCAAACACTCCATAGCTTAATTTAGACCCTCTCTGGTCCTTATGTAAGTGTAATCCCTATGAAAGTCAGTTTTAGCCAGCAGTTAAGAGCCCTAAGGCACCACTGAGGGTAGTTAATAGGCTAACAGTTTAACTGTGGTAATGACTGATTTCAGGGGGATTACACTACTGTTACATATCCTCATTCATGGTTTATACAAGGAGTGCTTATTTTGTGAGAGTGAGTGCCGCTCAGCAGTGGTATCTTCCAGGAGCAGATGTTACCGACCAGCAAATGCAAGAGAGGCAGTTTCATGGAAACGCATGCAACGGATGTTTTTAACTGACACAGCACTTGACAGACCCTTCAGAAATACAGCCCTTTGAGCTCCTCCGGCCCTGTGCAGCCCCTAATTTAGCGGTAGCTGCCTGCCTTCCGGATGGAGTGACAACAGGTTCTAGTTCTATTTTGCAGATGTTTGCACCCGTTCCCAAACTGAAGGATTTGCTTGTAGTAGGTAAGGGTAATGAGCAGGAACTGAGTTGCTGCTGACCTTTGACACTTTACGACTTGCTCTGAACCCTGTTTGAGAAAAACAGACCTGATTCTGTGCCCAGAAACAGAAGGTGGCAGAATTA